ATTTAATCAATATAGATTTAACTGCTGAGAACACTGTGTGATTATTTTTTAACTTTTATTTAAGATAGCTAATGCTGAATCAGATGGTTAGTAATGAAGCTGTTACGCCTCAGAGCTTTCACTATAATGATCCTGCATCTCACTCGAAAAGCACACTAATGTTAAACTCCTTGGTCTGTAGTTTAAGAATAGTAACTTTCAATTATACGTTGACATTCCTGTGATCTTATGTTGAGCCAGATTCTAATGCTGTTACAGTTTATTCTTGACTATGCCACATTTTATTTACATGTAATTTATTTTTCTATACCTGTTAAGTGGCTATTAAAATAATTTTGGTTAATTTGTTTAAATAAGAATTGGAGTAGTATCTTTCTATCCTAAGGTAAAAGGAAGGAAATCCTCTGTTGCAATCGAAAATTACAGGTCTTTATTTTTTATACATTAAAATATGTTGTATTCTTCAGTGTTAAAAACAATATACTAAAGTGTAGTAGAATCAAACTTTGAAGACTTTGGTTTTTTAGGAGAGAAAATTATTTCAGGATGAAAGACTCCAATAAAAATTAGATAGTTACTTCCTGCTTTTAAGCTAGCCTGTTTATATCGTTCTGTTTGACAAGTAATTGATTAGGTTAGACTGTTAAACCATTTAATCTGGCATGTACATTGTATGTGATAAAAGGACTCCAACTGTGATTTTGAGTATATTAAATAATCTTCAGGAAGTTTCACAAAGAACATTTGAATGCCTTAAAACTTGAAGTAATGCATGTTTGTTCCAAACACATTTGATTTGATTTGCCTAGGTTTGTGTCAGGTTGAAGAAATCCCTAATCTTGTTGCATTTGGTCCCTGGGTTTTTGTAATATTCTTTTCTTCTAGGGGTTAATTAGCCTTTTTTCAAAATGTGGCCTATTTCACTGTAGATTTGCATGATTCAGCCAGAGTTGGCTGTACAAAGCAGAACAGTTAGCAGGCGGGTGTGTCCAACTGCTTAATTAGCCACAATAAAAAGGTCCTTTGTCAAACAAGCATCTGTTGCTCATGACACACCTGACAGCCACATTAGGCAAGGATGACTAGACGGAAATTGTGCATGTCTCTCCTGCAAGAATATACAACTTATTTACATATGGGATGCATCATTGAAAATCTGAAGGGGTTTATTTAACTTATCAAAATGGGTTAATGTGACTGCATTTGTGACTGATAAACAAATGTCATTTGAAAGGAAGCTGCGAGGTACAAAACTAACCAAATTACTCCCAAACATAAACAAAGCACTAGAAACTTCTGCTGGGTGAATGAGAACACCTCAAATGTATTCATAAACTGTTTGTTGGGAGTAAAGTAAAACCTACTAATGGAACATGCTAAGAAAGTGTCCTCATGTGATGATCCTTACTTTGCATAAATGTTGGATAGTCACAAGGATATTCTTAATGTGTCATTGGGTTTAAATGATCTGTTTAGCAAAATTTGGCAGGAGGGTTATACTCTTCAAACACACTTTAATATTCTAATTGATCTGCTGTTAGAAGTTATGTCTTCATAATTAATCAGTTAAAATGCTTCTGGAAAAATGCTTATTAATTGAGAGGGGATACTTCCTTAACTTTGATATCAGAGAGATGGAGAGGACGTCCATTATTGTTGGAAGTATAAATCAAATTACTATGTATGCTGAACACAAAAGATTGCTGTCTCTGGTTTTTCATTTGGAAGCCCTATTATGATATTTCAAAGCAATGCACGTTTTCACAGTGGTTGATGACATGGGCTTTACAGTCAGACAGATGTGGATTGAATTCAGGGTCATCTATTTTCTACGTGTGTAGCTTTTGGCAGATTTTAGCATATCAGTTTCCTAATTTGCTAGGAAAAGATAATAATACCTCTCTTGTGAGGATTAAACTAGAAGAGGTACTTAGAACAGTTAGCTTAGTTCCTCACACCAAGAAACAAAAGGCTTATTAAGTGATAGACCCAATTATAGTTATGACCTTCAGAGCCAGCCTATAGAAGGGATGTGATGGAGACCTTCTGCAGTCACAAGGTTTGGTAGAGAAAGTCCCTTCCTAATGGCCAAAGAAGATAGTGAAATCAGAGGAGAATAAAGTGTCTATGAAGGCAAAAATTAATTGATGCAGATAAAATGGAAGAGCTGAAATATTAGTCTGTGGCATGATCCCGTAATCCAGAAACCAAATAGATTAGACCAACGAGCAGAAATTAATGATAAACAGAACATACCATGGGACTTGATTAGTACTAGGGTTTGCTAGATTGAGCTTCTTGTGACTGTTTTGATGTGATTGTTAATGGCAAAAGGTATCTCCAGAAGATCTCAGTCCTTGCACTCTCACATGGAAGAATTCAAGCAGTAAACATGGGTGTAATTGGGGTTTATTAAAAGTTAGGGAAGGGAAATACAAGTAGAAGCCAGGAAGCAGAGAAAGCATGTTTCTCGTCTCCAGATACTTTTAAAACTTAGGCTGACCTATGGGATGGGCAGAACCAGGTGATTCCCATCCAGTAATCAATGACTGGGGCAAGTCATGGCCGGTTCCTGGACCAGGTGAGGCTGGTTCCTAAGCCAGAGTATTGTCAATCTGATACGCAATATTAAGTCATATATTGTGAGTCTTGACGTTTCCCTAATTCTAGCCTACCTCAATATAGATAAAACCAGAAGCTGGATGGAAAGTTCTCCTTTTACAAGCTGTTTTCTTGTTTCTGCCTGTTTCCCCTACTACAGTAAAGTTTGCTTCTGTTAAATTGACATCTTTTCCTTTTTCTCTTTTTCTTTTCTCAATTTAAATGTTTGCAAGTTTGCTTTTCTTTACTCACCTTACTTACATCTGTGCAGTGTTTATTTTGAGGCTCAGGGCTTCCAATGTGTTCTATTAGTTTACAGCATGGGATTTGTAGCATAACATCCAAACCCTCCTTTTATATTTCCTACCTGTATGGCCATTGGTAAGTGACTTAACATCTCTTAGCCTCAGTTGACTCACCTGTAAAATGAAAAAAATATATAATTTAATCATCAACACAAAGTATGTACATACAAGCTAGTTTAGACAAAGTTTTAAGCCAGATCTGGGGGAAACAGGAGGGAGCATTACTATAAGTGACTTAATTGTAAGAAATTCATCTATCCTTGGTTGAGCAGCTTAAAGGAGAAGCAGTAACTGGTCACTCTGTCTTCTAAACTGACAGAGGCCACTAACCATCTTGGAGTTGAGTAGACTGAGAAAACCTCACAACATGAGGTCTAGTATCTGATTCATTCATCATTCCTTGCAAAAAGGCATAGATAGAGCCTTTGTTGTAGCACAGGTGCATCAATAGTCTATAAGTATGTGGCAATCAAAGGACCCTGGCTTCTGTTTTTGTTTTTGGGTTTTAAACTCTCCCTTTGTGAGGGAAGGAAGAAGCAGATGCATAGATATGGTTTCTAATTTGTGTATTCTCTTTCAAAAAAACTTTTGGCAGTGCTAGAGATTGAACCCCAAAACTTGTACATTCTAGGCAGATCTGTAGCCTAGTTCCAGCTTCCAAATTTTCAAACCCATTAGTCCTTCAGTAATCTTAACCAGGCAAGAGTTCTGTGTAGTCAGTACTATCATTTTCATACAGTTTTAAGTATATCCATGGTCTTTTTGTGTGTGTGTGGTACTGGGACTTGAACTGAGAGCCTCACCCTTACCAGACCTCTTGAGCCACTCTGCCAGCCCCATCTCCATGATCTTAATGCTAATCCTGAAGAGCATATGTGTGTATGTGTGTGTGTTTGGAGATAACTTGCATTTAAAACAATGAGCCACCATTGATAAAATTTCACAAGAACAATCTTGATTTTTCAGCTTCTTTTGGTATCTGTCAATTGGCCTTCCCACATATCCAGGATATCCTGGAGTTGAACATTAGCTAACACATATAAATGGGGCATTAGCCGCATATTTTTTTTATCACTTTCACTTTTGAACCCTCAGCCCCTTTCCTCTTTGTACCTGAATTTTCTCAATTGTAAATGAAAAAAAAATTATAACCATACCCATTGTATTGGGTTGTTATAGGGATTAATTTGTTATTAATTAACATGAAAAACACTTATAAGTGTTAATTGAAAGAGATCACACTGTGACAAAAGATACTGAATAGTTTTTCTCTTTGAAAGAACTGAATATGAGAATTTATTTTAGGGAACAATTAATGCTCATTATACTCTTCACATATTTAAACCATGATGTAATAGTTTTCTTAGGGTACCAATTAAATGTTTTCTCCCATCCTTACTCCAGGAAAAAATTATAATTCTGGTCCCTACTCAATAACAAAGAAATTTATATTTTTTTATTGAATATATAAATAGCAAAAGGTGATTCAAGACCAGGAAGCCTGAGAAAATGAGGGAACCCGGTTCTTTGGCTAAATTTAGGGTAAATCAGTTGCTTTTTGGATATATGTTATTTTTTAAATCACTGAATAGGAAGTTTTTAAGTTGCAGAGACCCTTAGAAATGATTTATTCTACATTGTATTCCTCCATCAGTGACATTTTAATAGACTGTGAAAGTGTGGTTTTATAGAAAGTAGTTCACAATGTATTTGTATCCAGTTAGGTTTTATGTTCTGAAAATTAAGAGTATCTTGACATAATTTGGGATCATAGTTCATAAATGGATTGAAATAATTTATAACAGATGAGATCTAAGGGGAGGTAGTTTTCAGTGAAGTTCACCCTTTTTAATCAGGTTAAGAGGTACTATGGAGGATTTTTCAATAAAAATGTGGGTTAATAATTTTTTAAATTTATTTAAAAATTGTCAGAATGACAATAAACATACCTGAATTACGATAATAATATGATGGATTGAGACGTATTAATTGTGAGAGTTGAAAGTTAGTCTTGGTATAGGATGGTAAGAAAAAAAATCTAATGAATCTCATTATGGAAGGAGATGTTTTAAAGTTTATCTTCATATATTTCAGAGACCATCATGCAGACATCAGAGACTGGGTCGGACACAGGTTCGACTGTGACTTTACAGACATCTGTGGCTAGTCAAGCAGCAGTGCCTACACAAGTGGTACAGCAAGTACCAGTACAACAACAGGTAAGTAGCTGCTGTTCTCACAGTAGAGGTTGTTGCTTTCTTTATGCTGACCAGCTAATATAGCCATATCCAGATTACTTGGACTTTACTTTCTTGCTTCATTGGTTAACTTCATGGTTCAGTTCTTTCAGCAAATGTTTCTTTAGTATTTGCTGAGTATGCTAGATTCTTTTAGTGCTAGGCTATAGAGATACTAAAGAGGTAGACTACCCTTCTTCTGAAATTGTTTCATACTAGCACTTAATAAAGGACCTGTCTGGAACTGAGGGGGGAAGGGGGAAGAGGATGGGGGAGAGGGACAGGGGGTAGAAATGACCCAAACAATGTATGCACATGTGAATAAAAGAATAATTAAAAAAAACAAAAAACGGAAGGCATCCTTGTACCTTATAGGCAGAGATTTTGCCTTTGTGGTATTTTAGAAAGTTGTTTGGCATTAGGTGACTACTAAATACTGTTTAATGAAAATAAAATTATCTTAAAGGTTTGGAGATCTGACTCATCCCATTTAAAAAGTTAGAAAGGAATTTATCATCAGATGCTTAATACAAAGTCTGGTTTCATAACCAGGCATTTGGCTTCTTTTGAAAAGATACTGACAAAATAACATGGTTCATGTCAGTCAATAGTTCTGCATGCAGATTGTGAACACCTTGACCTGTCATTTCTTTCAGAATGGTGAGAACAGAAGAAAGAAAGACCATATGTCATATAGGTTGTCTTCATACTCAAGGTTTACCTGTAATTTATTAGTATGTAGGGAAATCTGTAGCAAATGTTGTTCCTAGAATTATAAATAAGTGGCTATAGAGAGCTATCTTTTCATAAATGATAGAAAAACTTTGGGTTGTGTTTTTTAAGATATAAAATTAGGCTTGGCTTGGGCAGGGGGAGTGCTGGAATCACAGAAAGCCTTTTACTCTTAGCAGAAATAAAAATATCTGAAATCAGTTGTATTTTCTTTTACAATTTTTCATTTTAAGGTACACTTCTTTCTTGTTTCTGGCATATATGTACCCATATCTTTCCCATTCTTCAGGCTCCAGTTTATTAAACTGTATGTAGTTCAGTTTATGTTTCAACCTATTAATTTTGTTTATCTTTTTTAAATCTCATTTTCTCTATTTTTTGCCACTAAAAATGGGTCTCTCCGAAGTAGAGTTTTAATTGTCTGTAGGCTTATTCGTATTATTACCAATTTCAAACTTGAACATTATTTGGAAAAGGATATGTTTATTTCATCCAAATAGCAAATAAAGAACAATTGGGGCATTGTTCTTAACACATTTCGTTCTTTCCCTCCTGAAAAATAATCTCTTGTACATCTCATCCATATTTTGAAAAACATTATACTATGCCATGTGCCTATCCCTTCCCCGCCCTGCAGGTGTAATTTTCAGTTCCTGAAGTTAGTTCTTTCCTCTGGGACATTCAAGGCAGGTGATACCTTACATTCCCTTATACCAAGCAAAGAATCTGAGAACTCTCATTTTCTTTTTGTCAGCACAGTGTTTTATTTCACGTAGTTGGTTAGTGTGAATGTTGCTTGGAGATAGTTATGTCCTTCTTCTATGCTTCTTTGAAAGGATTGTTTTTCTCCTTTGCCTTTTTTTTTCTTTCTTCCCCGCACTAACAGTTTCATGTTCAAAGTTCCCCAGTGTGTTATTATAGTGTCCCGATGGATGTAACTTTTCTGTAACCGATAATAATAATGCTATAGTAATTTCTTATTACTGTGACATGCCTATAATGGTTGAATTGTTAATGTGTTGATGTTGTCTGGAGTTTGAAAACTATACTAGAATGCCTTTGAAAAACTTAAGATTTTGTTGATGACCCTTGATGACATTGAAAGCATGGTATTGATGTTAAAGGTAGTTAATTGTACTGATTCAGTTTTTCACTAACCTTGCTTTGGCCATTAAAAAGAAAGTTTACAACCAATTTGTGTGTGTGTGTGTGTATGCGTGTATGTGTGTGTGATGTAATATATGTCTTGGAATGTTGCAAACCAAGTAACTTCAAGATCCCATTTAATATGGTACAATTCTGTTTTTTCAAAGCCCTAAAAGTTCTAATTTCACAGGGAGGTAAAATAAAAATGTTAATTCTCAAGTTGTATTTGTTAATTGTATGCCACCTCAAATATGAATTTGTCACCTTTCCTTGGGCATTATGGTTGAGGAATGGAGAATTCTGAGGAAAGAATGTCAAGGTCTTGTTACATAAAATTATGTCAAATGTCTTATCTTCTGTAAGTTGATACTGTGTTATAAAATATTATTGTCTTAGCTTCTAAATAAAGACACTTGCCCAATCCAATAAAATCTGTAAAATATTCAAGTTCAATATCTTGATTAGGAACTAAAATTTGATATAACCTATCTTGTTATCTTTTAAAGTACTTTTTAGACTTAATAGGGTTCTGTAGAATTATGGTTAGGAATGTACTGCTGCCCCTCCTTGTCTTCCTGTCTTAAGTGATTTACTTAATAGTTTCTTATAGATTATTTTTCAAGGTGGTGATTTATGCTTGAATCCAAGAGGCCTTCTAACCCTGCTTGCCCTGGAACTGAATTAAAACTCCAGGAGAGGGAAAAAGGAAAATATCTTAATATTTCATAGCTTCCTAGGTTAGGTTCTTTTCAAGGTTGAGCCTAAAAAGTCAAAATTTTATTCTTTGTTTTAATCTTGGGCTCCAGGTATTCAGTCCACAAATATTCCTGACATTGAGGATAATTCTTAAACCATCTTCAATCATGACCCCCAAATTATTTTTCTCTCTTTCTATTTTCCTTCTTTTAACTGCCTTTGAAGCTATAGTTTTCTCTACTGCTATTCTTATATTTTCTCAGAGAAGGGTATAAATCTTTTCCTCCCCAAATGAGCAAATATGTTGTCTCTATATTATAGCTTCTAAACATAACATTTTGGTACAGTAGAGTCCTTGTTTTTTTTTTTTTCCCCCTTTAAAAGAAGGGAAGAACTTCAACTTTACTGAAATTCTTTTATTATTAGAGACTATAGTCTTTGCCTTTTCCTGGTGTGAATTCAAAGAGTTTATTTCTAGTGAGTCTTTGTTATGTAACCAGGGCATTTAAATCCCTTTTTATGTGATAAAACATCATTTCAAGAGTATATTGAGGAAAGACCTTTGTTTTTCATGTAAATTACTTATGTAGGTAGAGAATCTTTGTTTATAATTTGAGTTATCAAAGTGAATTGAAAAGCTCTGTAGCTATATTGTTCCTTTTCATTTATTATCAGTCTTTTCCATATTTAGTACTCTCACATAAATTGTGGTATATTCTGCAGATTGAGCTTATTATCTCTGTGGTTAAAAGATAAATGATAATTTCTTTGGGGAATAGATCCATGCAGAGTAGACAATTAGATTGTTGGAGAAAGATATATGAAAAGGTGGGTAAGTTTTAAGTTAATCTCCAGTAGATACGTTTATTATGGGTATGTATAAAATGTTGCCTTAGTGTTTAGGAAATACATTTTGGGAATATGTTTGTAATCCCAACACTGGGGAGTCTGAAGCAGGAAGACCAAAAGTTCAAGAGGTGACATAACAAGACTGAACAAACCAAAACAAAAGAAACAAATAGCAACAATAAAAAGCAAGAATCCTTCTCACATCTTCACATTTCTTAGATCAAAGCTCAGTAATGGCTCAATATCCCTGCTCTCTTTTGTTTTCTATATTTTATTAAAACCAGATAGAAACCATGATAATTAGCAGTATACTCATAAGAATGTTATTTTGGTGAAAACAAGCAATAGTGATTAAAGAAAAAAAGAAGATTACCTATGATTTTTTTTTTTTTTTTTGGCTTCAAACTTGCAGTTCTCCTGCCTGCTTTTTATGAATGCTGGGATTACAGTTTTGTACCTCCATGCCCAGCAGATTGATTGCCTATAATCTTGTTACCAATAGTTGACCCAAAACTGGGTGTTTTTTTTCTTCTCAGTAGCTCTTATTTTTTGACAGTATGGGAGTTTGAACTCAGGGCCTCACACTAGCTAGGCAGGCACTTTACAATTGAGTCACTCCATCAGCCCTTCCTTCTCAGAAATATCGAACTAATAACAAGACTGAGCACTAAAAAGTTTTATTCTTGGCCAAGGACAGAAGTGGGGATAGGATTGCAAATCAACTTCTTGACTTGTTGGGGGTCAGGAGGCTACAGAAATGGAGTAAAAGACTATGTTTTTTTTTTTTTTTTGTGGGGGGGATAGATAGAGATTTTCTGGGAATTCAGACATCAAATCTTTTGCTTCTTTTATGGTTCTTTTTGATTATCATTGCATTTGTCAACTGTCATGATTATTAGGGATGTCATTTAGCATAAAGATGGATTATAATGAAGTTAAAGTTGTCTGGTGTTTACTCGAACAGACATTTAAAGCCAACTAGTTTGGACTAATGTACCTGAAGAGAGAACCTTGGCCTTCAGACATCCTATCTTCAAAGATAAAAAAGATTTGGGCAGGATAGAAATTTAGCTAGGTCAAATAGTAGTCCAGGATTAGGGCATGATGACAAATGCCCCTTTCTTATTTCACTTCTTATTTTAGAGAGGTGCTGAAGGACAAATGTTGGCTTCTGTAATTGCTTCGGGTTTAATTTGAATGTTGTTAAGAGGCTCATTTGAGGACTGAAAAAGCATAATCCTTAGGCTTGATTATCTGTTGCCTTGTCATAGACTTAGCTGTTCCTACTGACTAAGTGTCTCTTACTTATAACTTAGGACCATCAGCCTTTTACTTAAGAATGAGACCAGGAAGTTGAAGATATGTTACCCAAATAGCAGAAGGAGTAGGATAGCCTTTAGAGGGCTCCAAAGAGGCAAAAACCAGGTAACGTTTCATAGGGTCTCTTTAAATCATGTTCCAGATATCTTGGGTGGAGATGCCTGGAATTTGATCTTGGTGCCAGTTTGTGTCCTCTAAAAGCCAACAGTCTCTTTCCTTTATGGTTTTACCAATAACCA